AAGTTGAGAGGCAACGGTGTCTAACCTACGCTGCTCGTAAGCGGGCCGGTTACATCTCTGACTCGCCTGTCAGGGAGGGATATAACTTCGAGGATGTCAACCGCCTGGATTCTGCTTCTTGGATTTATAAGAATTATCCGCCAGAGGGTAGTGATGAACCGAATGTCGGTTCTGATGGACGGGGCGATGGGGGTTCTTAGGATTTTGTATCCGTACCTCTTTCTTTTGCTATAAATGAGGCCTTTTTCTGAGGTCAGATGTATGAACATTCTTTTAAAGATAATAGTACATGCTTTTTTGCTGTCGTTATTCTTCTTTTGTTGCTTAAAACTTTTGTCGCGTTTGAGAATATCGTCTTTGTGTTTCTCATCATAGTTTGAGTTTAGATCGATACGGGCGGTTTCAACCGTTGTCGTACCCGCTCTGTCGTGGTCGAGATTAGGTCGACCATTAATGATGATGGCCTTGGCCGTACGGGATCTATGGTCCCGTACATGCAGGTGACTTTGGCTATCGTCTAGTCATCTGCTTTGCCGTAGTCGACATTGGGTCGACTTGTAATGGCGATGGACTTAACCATGATGAATCAGTGGCCTTAGCCATGATGATGTTGATGGCCTTAGCCATGTAAGTGACTTCGACTATCGTTGGGTCATTTGCTTTGCCGTAGTCGATATTGGGTTGACTGTGAACGGCAATAGCCTTAGCCATGTAAGTGACTTCGACTGTCGTCGAGTCATTTGCTTTGTCATAGTGGACATTGGGTCGACTGTGAAAGTGATGGCCTTAGCCATGCTAAATTAATGACCTTAGCCATGCTGAATCAATGGTCTCAGCCATGGTGATGTTGATGGCCTTATCCATGTAAGTGACTTCGACTGTCGTCGAGTCATTTGCTTTGCCGTAGTTGACATTGGATCGATTGTGAACGGCGATGGCCTTAGCCATGCTAAATTAATGGCCTTAGCCATGCTGAATCAATGGCCTTAGCCATGGTGATGTTGATGGCCTTAGTCATGTAAGTGACTTCGACTGTCGTCGAGTCATTTGCTTTGCCGTAGTCGACATTGGGTCGACTGTGAACGGCGATGGCCTTAGCTATGCAGAATCAATGGCCTTAGTCATGATGATGTTTATGGCCTTAGCCTTTCATTCATTGGAGATGGCCATAGCCTTTTCATACATTGGAGATGGCCGTAGCCTTTTCATACATTGGAGATAGTCGTAGCCTTTTCATTCATTTGAGATGGCCGTAGCTTTTTCATACATTGGAGATGGCCGTAGCCTTTTCATTCATTGGTGATGGCCATAGCCTTTTCATACATTGGAGATGGTCATATCCTTTTCATACATTGGAGATGGTCGTAGCCTTTTCATACATTGGAGATGTTGCTGGTCTAGTCCTTGTATCATGTCGGGCTGGAGAGCGTATGGAGAGGCTGATATGATACACTTGTTCTGTAAATATCCCCAAGTGTTCCCTTTGCCGCCTCATTAAAAACCTCCCCGAGAAAACCCAGTTGGGACAATACTCGGGTAAGGGAAAAAGAGTACGACTTGGGGGACACCTTTTAGAAATGGAAATATTTGAGGTGGGCGACATTCCAGTTGTTCTGGAGTGTTTTTCCTTCCATTGTTTCCAGCTAGAATGCCCCTTTGCTGGCTGATGTTGTGATTTTGTAGGGTCCTTCCCAGTTTGTGCCCAATTTTCCTTCACTTGGGTCTTTGGAGGCCAATGTCTAGGCTTTGAGGACGTAGTCTCCTACTTTGAGCGGCATTATCTTTGCCCTTTTGTTGTAGTATCTTTCGACTTGCTGTTTTTGGGCCAACGTTCTTATGTGGGCCATTTCTCTTCTTTCCTCGGCTTCATCAAGGTCTTGGAATCTATTTGTGTCATTTTCCGTTCCACTGGTGTGTGAATACCTCAGGCTTGGTTCACCTACTTCGACGGGTATGACCGTGTTGGTTCCATAAACTAATGAGTATGGAGTTTCTCCTGTGCTGGACATAGATGTGGTCCTGTGTGCCCACAATACTTCAGGTAGTAGTTCGGGCCATAGCCCTTTGGCGTCTTCAAGTTTCTTCTTCAGTATATTTAGAATTGTTTTATTGGAGGATTCTGCTTGGCCGTTGGCAGCGGGGTGGTATGGCGTGGAGAGCATCCTCTTGATGCCCATTTTTTGAAGAACTCGGTCATTTTTTGACTGACGAATTGTCGTCCGTTGTCGCACTAATCTCCTTGGGGATGCCGAAGCGGAATATAATGTTCTTCTATATGAAGGCGATGACTTCTTGTTCGCGTATCTGTGCGTACGCACCTGCTTCCACCCACTTGGAGAAACAGTCAGTTAAAATAAGTAAAAATCATACCTTTCCCCATCCTGCAGGTAGAGGGCCGACTATGTCCATTACCCATTTGATGAAAGGCCAATGAGAGGTGACTGAATGGAGGGGTTCTCCTGGCTGGTGTATCATCGGGGCATATTTTTGGCATTGCTCGCATCAGCGGACGTATTCTTCCACCTTTTGTTCATGGTGGGCCAGTAATAACCAGCATGTATGATGCATCACACAAGGGCGCGATTACCTGTATGGGTGCCACAGTGACCCTCATGCACCCCTTCGAGTACTGGCCTCGTTTGGTGCGTCCCTAGGCACTTGGCCAGGGGTCCGCCAAACGTTCTCTTATAGAGGTCGTTGTTGATCAGGCAATACTGGGCGGCTTGCACGCGAAGTTTCTTCGCTTCTTTCTTGTCGGGTGGTAATGTTACGTCCTGTAGATAAGATACAAACTATTTGCGCCAGTCCCAAGTGAAATTTAAAGAGAGTGCCTCAGTGTGGTCGATGGCTGAGTGGAAGAGGATGACTACGTTTTCTTTGTTGATATTTTTGGTGGTTGCGACCAACTTTGCCAGTCCGTCAGCTTCGATGTTTCGTGCTCTCGAAATTCGTTCGAAGCGGCATTCATCGAATGCAGCCATTAGCTTGCGAATTTTCGTCTGGTATTTTTGTAGCCTTTGCTCTTTGACTTGATAAGTTCCAGTGACCTGGTTTACCATGAGTTGGGAGTCGCAATGGAGGAGGATTTGTCGAGCCCTATATTTTATGGCTAGTTTCATGCCTACAATAACGGCCTCATACTCAGCCTCGTTGTTAGTCATTTCTGGGCATCGTATGTACTGGCGAATCATTTCGCCCATGGGGACCTCGAGAACGAGTGCCAGTCCCGATCCTGATGGGTTGGCGGCGCCATCAGTGTAGAGGACCCATAGGTCGTTACTGGGGGAGGTACACTGGGCCTCGAGTTCTTCCTTTGGCAGGATTTCTGCGCTAAAGTCGGCTATGAAGTCAGCCAGGACTTGAGACTTGATGGCATTTCTTGCAAGATATGAAATGTCGTGCTCGCTGAGCTCAATGGCCCATCTAGTGAGCTGGACTGATAGCTCAGGCTTGTGCGCTCCTAAATGGGAAGGTCGTTACCACTTTTATGGAATGGAACTGGAAATAAGGTCGTAGCTTCCGTGAAGCTACTACTAGTGTCAGTGCCAGCGCTAGCTCTCAAGGTGTGGGTACCGGGTTTCAGCGTCCACTAGAGTTTTGCTAATGTAATAGATAGGAGACTGCGTACCTTTGCTTTCGTGTACTAGGACGGCGTTGACGGCGACCTCAGATACGGCCAGATACACCATCAGTGGTTCACCTGGGCTTGCTTTGACTAGCAGAGGCGGCGAGGACAGGTATGCCTTCAAATTTCTTAGGGTCTCGACGCACTCCTCGTTCCATTGTAGCCCTTGGTCTTTCTTTAATACATCAAAGAATTTATGGCACCTGTCGGGGGGTCGGAAAATGAATCTGGAGAGGGCGGTTATCCGGCCCGTCAGCTTCTAAACTTGTTTTTTGCTGCTTATCACTTCCGAGATTGCGTCTATTGCTTTGATCTGGTCCGGGATGACCTCGATACCCTTTTGTGACACGAGAAATCCTAGGAACTTTCCTGAGGCCACACCAAAGGCGCATTTCTCAAGATTTAGTTTCATCCCGTATCTTCTCAGTATTTCGAAGGCTTCCTTCAGATAGTCGAGGTGGTCTTCTTTCCTTGATGACTTTACTAGGATGTCATCGATATAGACTTCCATCGTTTTGCCGAGTTGTTCTTTGAACATCCTGGTCACCAACCTTTGGTACGTGGCCCCCTGCATTTTTTAGCCTGAAGGGCATTACTTTGTAGCAGTATGTTCCTCGGTGACTGATGAAGGTTGTCTTCTCTTGATCTTCCTCGGCCATCATGATTTGATTGTACCCGAAATATGCATCCAGGAAGCTTAGCAACTCATGTTCTGCTGATGCGTCTATCAGTTGGTCGATGTGGGGCAGCGGTAATGAATCTTTTGGGCATGCCTTGTTTAGAACGGTGAAGGCTATGCACATTCGCCACTTCCCATTTTTCTTCTTGACCATGACGACGTTGGCAACCCATTTAGGGTACTTGGATTCCCAGATGGAACCGTTTTCCAGTAGTTTGTCTACCTCATCACTCACCGCTTCATTGATGGCGGCGTTAAATTTTCTCCTCATCTGCCGCATATGCAGGTGTAGCGGATCGACGTTCAGTTTGTGGGTGGCAATTTCTCGCGGAATCCCCGACATTTCTGAATGGGAAAAAGCAAACAGGTCTGCATGGTTAGATAGAAATTCACGATACTTACTTGGATTTCAAAGGTTGTGGCCGATGTAGGCTTTCTTTGTGAGATCATTGTTATCTAGTTAAATGGGATCGAGGTCCTTGGTCGTGGCTTTGTTGGCCTCTTTGATGTCGGGATCTTTGATGGCGTCCTCTGCTGGATGGACCTTAGTCCCCGACAGAGCTGATTGCTATGCTTTTGCACTCGCCCTTTTGAGTTTTTTGGTATGGGTGTAGTCTTGAGCTATTTTATAGCACTCCTGGGCGGTGTGAGGTTCACCTCGTATGCTGAACACCCCCCATGGGGTAGGGAATTTGATTACTTGATAATCCACGGACGTCCAATGATGGTGTTGTATGTCCTTGGTTCATCACATGGAAAGTGGTTTCCATCTTGACTCCTCCCGCCAGAACGGGTTACCTCCCCAGAGGTTCTTTCCACTACATTATTAAAATCAGTTAGTGTTCTGCAGCACAGTATTATCTTATCCTCGAGTCCATAAGCGTAAGGACCCTTGGGTGGATAATACAGGCGTCGCTACCGTCGTTAACCATAATTCTCCTAACATCCGTATCTACAATGCATAAAGTAATAACCAAAGTATCATAATGAGGGAAAGACAATCCGTTGACATCGGACTTATCGAAGGTGATACTATCTTCGATGTCATCATACCGTTCATGAGTGATGGTTCGCTTCAGTTTGTGAGTGGTGGTGAATTTGACGTGGTTGATCGCCGAGTTATTGCCATCCCCGATGATCATATTGATTGTGCGTGTTGGTGAGGTCGTCCTTGGTGGACCGTGGGGTTGTTCCCTTCCACGTGCTAAGTTGAGTTTTCCTTTATCGTTGAGTATTTCTCTCAAGAACCCTTGGTTCATCATCCTGACCACCTCTTGCCGTAGACCTATGCAGTCTTCGGGTTTGTGCCCTCGCTCCTGGTGGAACTCGCACAGGGCATTTGATTTTCGGGTGGTAGGGTCATCTTTGTTGGTCATTGTACCTTGTTGCTCAGCTTCTCTAGTGCGTACACTACTTCTGAAGGGGAAACACAAAAGTTATGTGCAGATAATAAAGGAGGCACACCTCTGTCGTTTCGTAGGGGGGTGTACCTTGGCGGCGGGGGATGAGATGATCTGACGTAAGGTCGATGTCTTTCCCTGTTGAGACACGGGACTTTTTCCTGTCGTCTTTCATTGAGCCGGTCCCTCCTGATCTCTGGGTGTATCGTTTTCAGCCGCCGGGTTGGACCGTTAAGGTCGTCCTCATCTGCACGTGCCTCGGCACAGTAGGCATTGTGAATTTCCTCCCATGTGGTGGGAGGATACTTCATAAGTCGACTCAGCAGTTTCTTGGTCGCCCTCGAGCCGTCCCTACTTAGCCTATTCTGGAAAGCGGCGACCGCCATACCTTCCGATAAGTTTGTTAGGCTCATTCTTACCCTGTTGAATCTGGCCAGGAATTCCCTGAGCCTTTTTCCCATGGTTTGTCGAACAGCGAAGATGTCGTTAACTCTAGCCTCTACATTCTTTGCTCCTGCATGGGCGGTGACAAACTTATACGCCATTTCCTCGAACGTTGAGATGACTTCAGCCGGTAGTTGGGAGTACCATGTTAGAGCTCCACCTAATAATGTGTCGCCGAACTTCTTCAGAAGCACGGACGGTACCTGTTCTTTCGACAAGTCGTTAGCTTTTACAGCCATGACGTAGTGGATCAGATGGTCCTCGGGATCTGTAGTCCCGTCGTATACCCTCAAATAAAGAGGCATTTTGAAGGTTTGGGATGGAGTATGGTGCAGCTTCCTCCGTGTAAGGTTGTTCCACAAACCTACCCACATCGCGCTTTGGTAGCAGCTTAGGAGCACCCGGGATCTTGTCTACCGTTTCTTGATGCTCCTTCATCTGGTCACGGAGTGACTTATTTTCGTGTTCCATTTCCTCCATCTTTCTGAGGATGGCTGCGAGCGTACCGTTGCTGGTTTGAGTGTTGGCGAGTGCATTGTTTACTCGCACGATCTCAGGTTCATCTTCGACTGCAACAAGGTCCACTATTGGCATGCGTATGACGCCATATTGTGGTGACTTTTCGACCAAGTCTTTTAGAGTGTTTGTTAGCCACTCTTTTAGTAGCTCCTTGACTTCTGGGGGTGCTTCCTTAGATGTAGATGTGGAAGCTCCCTTTTTCCATGATCCACCAGATCTCTGGGTGGAGGAGGTGGGGTTTCTCCACTCAGTGTGGTGCTGGGGGTTGCGTTTAAGATGTTATCTTTACCTGCCTCATTGAGAGAATTCATGAGGTTGGCCCCAACCTCGTTTATTGCTTTTATTCTTGCGTTGGTGTTAGCCATTCTTGTTCGTGCGATATAGAGGATGGTTGTCGGTGGTTTTCTAGGCACAAACTATAACTTTGATTCGCGAGATCCCCACATACGGCGCCAAATTGTTTGGCTCAAAAGTTATATATGTACTTTGCAAGCTTAAAAACAATCAATAATGTTTAAGGGTAAATCGTAATCAAGAATAATAAGTCCTAGAAAAGATTATCGACTTAGATCGTAGTAGATCTGGGAATGTAAGATATTATGGAGAGCTTTTGTATTTAGAGAGATAGAGAAAAAGCTTGTTAACAATAGAGAGGGATAGTAAAGAAGTTGTATTGCTCAGAATAATACACACACATGCCCTATTACAAAGTGAAGGTCTCCTTTATATACTAGGAGACCTTTCTCTAAATAATCAAAAGGAAAGTACAAAAGTTGGTGGCTTCTTCGTACGGAAGGGGCTAAGCTCTAAACGATGTCGTCTCTTTGTCTTGTTAGCTAGGGCATACCCTTGTTTGGGCCGACTTTGCTTGGACCAACAGGAATCAAAGGCGTCCTTGTCATAAGAGGACGTGCTTACTTGGACGGGACGTGGAGGGCCGAATTTTACCTTATACAAGGTTCTATGAAAACACCAGTTAAAGTAGTATAATATTAGAATTTTCTTCTTTCATCACAATTTTAATTGTAATGTTGGGCTCGTGCACTGCTGCTATTGTTGTCATATCCTGCGATTAGCAATACCAAAATTCAAATTTTGACCATGTCACAACATAAGGTTATTTCAAGGATAATATTAAGAACACAAGAGCGTCATGTTTGAATTGTTTAGCTCAGGAGCTTCATTTGCAGTCAGTTGAAAATTATATTACTTTCTTTGTCCATGTGAGCAACTAAGCTTCACTTGTATTTTTCAATTTAATTAAGCTAACAACTTTTAACTATTTTTCAATAAAATTTATATTGTGAAAATATCCAAAGGACAAAGTAGTTACTATGGAGTTTACTGTGTGTTCTGAATATGGAAAAACTAAAGATGTTTGTCATGTTACTCATTTGCTTCATGCTCCTATGGCTAGAGGATGAATTATTAAAGTCAACAACAGAATGCACATATCCATTGGTTTTATTATAAATAGAATTTTATAAATCTCAAAAGGAAGATACGAAGGACCATTTAATTAAATAATTTTATGTTAATGCTATTAAACAATTTTTTTATTATATGTGTCGATATATTAAATGATACTTTTTGAACGGGAAACATCATTACTAGAGAACCTATGTACTACCGTTTTAAATAACAAAAGATAAGTTAGGCAAAAAAAATTACTTATGCTAATTAGTGAACTCGATCATGAAGCATGCTACTTTTACAATTTGATTTTCACGCGATAGTAGGGATCAATAAAATGATGATAGTCTTTCCTTTTAAATGATTTCAAGTAATATAAGATTAACTCTAGGATCCTTTGAAAATGGACTTTAATAGAAGTTTTTTCCATAGCGAAAAGAAATTATACTCAAGTTTTTAATTTACTGTCTAAATTAATATTTTGTGCATACTAAAATATATGATTTGAATCAAATTTATATGATTTGATCAAACCCGTAATCAATACTCTACTTCGACATATACTGTTATTGGATTACTAATCACCATATATTTCTTCTTAATTTGTCAAATATCATTTGAGATTTTCTACCTTATTATATGAGAAGAGAATGAGTTGCCAGGATAATGACTATCTAGCACGTGGACCTAGAGGGAAATCATGTGAAAATCTCAACGGGAACATTAAAATATTTAAATCATATAGATGGACAACATAAATACTTTTATTTTATAAATTAGTACATTTAATTTGTTATATAAATTACTTTTTATATCTTTAGGGTTATCGGTTAATGTTTGTTTAAAAGATTATCTGCAAAAGCCTTTTAAGACCATCTCCAACAATACACTAAATCTTGCACCAAATCTATATTTGGTGCAAGATTTAGAGTAAATTTGCTCCAACAACACACTAAATCTTGCACCAAATCTATATTTGGTGCAAGATTTAGAGTAAATTTGCTCCAACAACACACTAAATCTTGCACTATTATAGTGTATGAATAGTGTTGCGCCAAATTTAGTGCAATTCTATTCATTACACTATATTTTTTTAATATTATTATATTCATTTTTTGTATTTTAGAACTTTTAATTAATGATATATTATATATTTAATTAAATTTTATATTAAGATCCTTATCATTTTAATTTTATATCCTATTTTTTGATATATTAATTTTTGTATATTTTATATTTATATAAAATTATAAGTTAATTTTATTATTATTATAGTTGTATAAGGATATATCTTGTTGTTTGAATATAAACTATTACTTCTATGACGTTTGAGCAAGGAAATAAAAAAAAAGTTTTGCGTAAATAACAAAGAACGTACTGAAATCTAATCTGCAACTAAGCAGTATGAAATCTGTAAAAAGGAAATATAACGATTATTGAAAAATAACAATACATAAGATGAGCGTGAATGTCCAGATCCTACTGTAGAAATGGTAGTAGATGAAGATCACTGATTTGAATAATTTTTAATGCGACACCAAAAAATTAAGGATAAAGATGCGCATTTCGCACTTCGTAATGCATTAATCGAGCACTTATGGGAGAATAAAGACGAATATTAAATATTTATGTTGTACTTAAATTAAATATGAATATGATGTAATATTTATTTAATTATCTTTTATTAATGATTTTACTCTTTATTAATTTATCCTTTATGTAAAATTTTATAATAAATGATTATATAAGTGGTGAATGTGAATTATATATAATGAATATGGGAAAAAGAAAAAAGATAGTATTAGTTTGAAGGAAATAAAAAAGGAAAAGTAAATAGAAGATAATAATATAATATAGAAGAGAGAGAAAATTTGATGTAAAAAATAGTATAATAGTTGGAGTAGATTTGGTGTTGCTTTTTGTTTTTAGTGAAAAATGATGCAAAATATAGTGTAATGGTTGAAAATGGTCTAAGTAATCAAATGTACAGTGTGAAATTTATTTAGCCTATCTGACTAAACTATGCGGGCATTAAGACATAACAATTGTGAAATTCTGGGAAAACAAATGAAAAAAAAATTAAGTGAAAATGGTATTTAAAGATTAGAGTTGTGTTTGGACATGAATATACTTTTGTAAGTGATTTGAAATGATTATACTCTTGAAAAGTTATTTTTTTTAATTTAAATACCAAACATCAAAAAATAAATAAAATTACTACTTATTTTTCAAAAAAAATATTTTCTTTGAAAAATTTAGTGTACCAAACCCACCTTAAGTTGCCAACCACAAAGTCAAAACTTCCTTCTGAAGGGTTGTAGTTTACTAGACCCAAGACTTAACTCTGACATATGTAACTCTGCTTACCTACTTTCCCTTTACTAAAAAATCATCCCTTTTTTGGAAAAAAAAAAAAAAAATAGGATTCAAAGCTTACTTTATTTAATTAGGTAAGCAGAGTTACATATGTCAGAATCATCCCTTATTCTCTAGTAAACGAATACAATATATTCCAATTTAATTATTCAGGTATACTCCTAAGCAGCCGTTGCCGGATAGTCGCCGTCAACGGCCGAATTCTCCGAACTGTCGATCCAATACTACCACTGGAACTAGAGTTTACGGTGAAAATCCCTCTCTCGAATTTTCCGTTGACGAACCGAACAAATCCTTAAGCTTGTTTCTCACCACCACTTCCTTTTATCCGGCGAATATCTGTCGCTGAAAATCCGATCTGGCGACGCATCGTTCTCGGACAATAGCCGTCGATCACTTCCTCGGTCGCTGCCGGTGTTGCCGCTGCGGGTGAGGAGCATGCGGAGAGTTTTACGGCGGCAGAGGTGAATGACTGGGCTAGTTTTTGCGCTTCGAGTTGGGCTTCCTGCTGCTACAGCAAATTGGGTCGCTAATAGCTTGAATTTTTGCAGAGTTGCCATAATTGGAAGGTGAAAAAAAGGGCTAGGGGACGGCCATGGATTAGATTCTGTGTTTTCGGTCTAAAGATTTACTAAAAAATCGTCCCTGAATTCTTTCATTCTCACCAACCCTTAATTCATCAAATGGATACTCAATTAGTTCGAGGAGAATCATCTCACTTCTCTTATGAAGTATTCCTCAGTTTTAGAGGTTAAGATACCCGAAAAACATTCACTGGCCATCTTTATTCCAAGTTGTCTGATGTTGGGGTTAATACCTTCATTGACGATGAGGAATTGAGAAAGGGTGATGTGATTTCAAGTAAACTAGAGAAAGCAATGGAAGAGTCAAGAATTTCCATTATTGTTTTCTCAAGAAATTATGCTTCCTCTAGTTGGTGTCTAAATGAACTAGTTAAAATTCTCGAATGCAAAGAGAAATTAAAGCAGATGGTTTTGCCTATTTTCTATGATGTTGATCCTTCTGAGGTACGAAAGCAAACTGGGTTATTTGGGAAAGCTTTGGCTAAACATAAGGAACGATCATTTGGAGCTCAAAGGGTGGAGAAATGGAGAGCTGCACTTACTGAAGCTGCAAATTTATCTGGATGGGATTTGCAAAATGTTGCTGACGGGTACATTTTCTTGATTCAACTATATAATTTCATTTGTTATTTGTTCAATTGTTTATACGATGGGATACATTGGAAAGCTACCTATGAATTGTTTATACAATTGTCTGCAACTCTTCAACCTCTTTCCAGCAATTTGAGAAACAAAAAATCNACAGCTATATAATTTCATTTGTTATGTAGGCATGAATCAAAGTTTATTGAAAAAATTATACAGCAAGTTCTACAAGAGGTCAACCAGACACCTCTAGATGTTGCTTGGCACCCGGTTAGAGGAGATTCTCATGTTAAAGATATAGAGTTGTTATTGCAAAATGAATATGAAGATGAAGTTCGAATTATTGGTATTCACAGAGTTGGTGGCATAAGGAAAACAACTCTGGCAGAAGCTATCTATAATCGAATGTTTCGACTCTTCGATAGCAGTTGCTTCCTTTCAGATGTTAGATCAGAAGTTGAAGAATTTGGTCTTGTCAAGCTACAAGAGAAACTTCTTCAACAAGTTCTCAAAATCGAGGACATCAAAGTTGGCAGTGTTGCTCAAGGCGTTAATCTAATCAAAGCAAGACTTGGGTCAAAGAAGGTTCTAATTGTTCTTGATGATGTGGACCATAAAAGACAGTTAGAAGCCTTAACAAGAGAAAGAAGTTGGTTTGGTTCAGGTAGTTTAATAATCATTACCACCCGTGACGAGCGATTGCTATGTCGGATTGCAGAAAAAGAGAGATATGAGGCCAAACTATTAAATGGCAATGAAGCTATGTTACTTTTTTGTTGGCATGCTTTTGACAGTGATTTTCCACCACAAGATTATGTTAATTTGGCACACGACATAATCGAATATTCAGGTAGGCTGCCTTTAGCTCTTGTGACATTGGGGTCACATTTACAAGGAAGTTCTGTAGAAGAATGGGGATATGAATTAGAAAAACTAAGAGCAATTCCTCATTGTGATATCCAAAAGATTCTCAAGATAAGCTTTGATGGGCTTGATGGAGAAACACAGATTGTTTTCCTCGATATTGCATGCGCCTTCCATGGGTTTGATGAGCATGAAGTTACTGAAATATTAAATGCATGTGGTTTTCATTCTAAAATTGCAATTGCAACTTTAGTCCAAAAACACTTGCTCCAAAGAACTCCGTATCATTTGGTGATGCATGATCTAGTGCGAGATATGGGAAGAGAAATCGTTCGCTTGGAATCACCTCGAGACCCCGGAAAACGAAGTAGATTGTTCATCCCTCGAGAAGTTCGTGATGTTCTACAAGGAAATGAAGTCAGTAAATCCTTCATCTTTATCTTGGTTATATATTTTTTTCAATTAAATTTTTTCCTGCTTACAATTTTTATTGTCATCATAAGAAATCATTTGTGCTTCGTCTCCGTTTAGTAAGTATTTTATAGTTGTTTGTCAACCATTGTAAACCAGAAATGACATTTGCTAAATTCTTACCTCACACCAAAGGCAAAAACATAAACAAAAAATCACCTATTTAACAACAACAATTCCCCAGTAAAGTCCCACATAGTGGGGTCTGAGGAAGGTAATATGTACACAGACCTTACCCCTGCCCTGATAGGGGCAGAGAGGTTGTTTCCTATAAAAAAATCACCTATTTAACAATTATCCAAATTTGGTAATGCATATTTCTTATTAAATTCTTATAACTAACATGCTTATGGGCATCGACCGTAGTATCTCCATGATTAGTTATTTGAAGATATTTGACTTTACTTAACTAAATGCGGAAATTAAGCTTGCTCGAAGAAATTAGGCATGTGAACATTTGGAAACTATTGAATAGGTACATATGTGAAACATTATTTCTAGAACGATATATACAAAGTGTTCTTTAAATATATTCAAATATATATTCTATCTTCAATTGGTGCTATTATCAGGTTTCTAGATGCGATTTATTCTCTTAATTCATCTCTTTTTGTTTTCCTTTGATATTATCATGTGAACTTATTGAATGCTTCTATCATGTGAAATATATTCATCTCATTTGTTTAACATTCTCTAATGTGTACGTTCATTTTTGTTGATACAAGATGTATTCTCTTTGTTTGTCAACCAATTTTTATAAAGCATTTTTCTCGCTTAATTTCTAGGACTTAACATGAGCTTAAGTTACTTTTCTTTTTACTGAGCTGTAGGGTTCCGAAAATGTAGAAGTACTGAAGGTAGATCGAGGGACATTAAACGGAGTGAACTTGAGCACCAAAGCATTTGAACAAATGAAAAACCTTAGGGTTCTTATAATGGATGAGTTACATATTAGTGGAGATTTTGGGTTGTTGTCCAAGAAGCTCAGATGGTTGTCTTGGAAAAAATGTCCTTTAAAATGTATACCATCAAATCTTCCAGCTGAGAATCTTGTAGTTCTATATATGCGGGAGAGTGATATCCAAGAATTTCAATTGAATTTGCAGGTTTGTTATTCAATTTTACAATTTCATGGGTACTGTTATTGCAAGTGAAAGAAAATGCTAATTGAAACTATATTTGGTTTACTTTTAGTGTTGTAAAAGTTTGAAGGAGCTGAATCTCTCTCATTGCAAGCAACTGAGAAGCACTCCAAACTTCAATGGTTCACTGAGTCTTGAGACTTTGCATCTCTATGGTTGCTCAAGTCTGACGGAGATCCATCCATCAATAGGAAATTTGTTCAGACTAAGTTATCTATATATAGACGGTTGCAAAAGACTTACGGATCTTCCAAGCAGCATATGCCAGCTAATATCCGTTGATTACTTGAGCATTAGTAACTGCTCATCAATAAAAACACTGCCAGATAACGTTGGAGATATGAAAAGTCTAAGATGTCTTGATGCATCTGATACTGGTATAAAACAATTGCCTAGATCCGTTGAAATGCTAAGAAATCTTGAAAGATTGGATGTGGGAGGTCGAAATTTAGAGGCCAAAAGGAGTATTTATAGAAGAGGAGTCCATCGGATACAATACTCCTTGCCAACTTTTGTATACGATTTGAGCCTTACATACTGTAATTTGTCCGAGGCTGATATTCCTAGGAATATTGGGAGCTTATCCTCCTTAAAATATATAGATTTGAGCGGCAAGAGTTTCCATTGTCTACCCATTGATTTTTCTAAGTTACGATTGTTGGAGAAGTTAAGTTTGAAGGACTGTGAGAATCTCCAAACACTCCTGTCAGTATCAAATTTAGAGAATCTTTATACAATTAAACTTGAGAATTGCCGAAAATTGGTCAAGATTATAGAGTTGGACAACCTCCCTTCTATAGAGCAGATTAATATGATTAATTGTAATTCTCTGCAGAATCCATTCAATGAAGGCTTCTTTAGTGCACCTGCTCTATATGCATCTAGAAATGATCGATATATGGTTAGTCTCTCTCTTTCTCTCTCTCCCCCCCATCATATTAGTGATCTTGAGTCATTGTCTGATGCAGATGCAGGCTACTGTTAGAATTTATCTCGAATGTGATGAGATTCCAGAATGGTGCAGGAATCAAGTAACAGCTTCATCTATGTGTTTGACTTTGCCAACACATAATAATGAGGAGTATCACTTCTTAGGAATGGTTCTCTGGTTTGTTTCCGACTTGCTCGATGTAGTCCCGTATAATCCATTCTTCAAGATTAGTATTGCCCATGGAAAGCCTTCATCGATTTTTGTTCTTCGTTTGTTTCTTCCGACGGAAGAAAATATTTATATTCAGAGATCACTGCTTGATAAAATAAATTAAATACCTTAGTGGTATGGAAATTTTGTTCTTCTGCTGTTTCTACCTTTGCCATAATTCTCATACAAGCTTAAGTCAATAATATTAGATGAAAACCTATTCTTGCTAATCTTTTTTTACCAAATTATGATCTTTTCTAGACTTCCTCCCTTACTAAATCTATCTTTTTCCTCATCGTCCTTAATAAATTGCGATTTTATTGAGCTTCCTTCCTCTCAGGATAATGTATTAACGTTAATAAACAACATAATATAATTATGCACTAAGTTCTTCATATGGAAAAAAAAACTCATTTGAAGTATAAAATTATCATTAAAGCCTTCCAAGTAACTTATTAAAGAAAAGGAGCGGATGTCAAACCTCCTTGAAGTTTCCAAAACTACAAAATCTATCAAAAATAATTTCTGCGAAAAACATAGATTCCTTGTTGTTATCCAATGAAATTATTGCCGAGTATAATATAAAGAAATATCAACGTTAATATTAGTAGCTAGGTCGTGCAAGATAGTCTGGACATTATAGTTAGAAGAAAAAAATAACATCAATAGTTAGCATTGAAAGAAACAATTTCATCCACAAATCACAACCACATGAACACAACATCATAAGTAGAAAGAACAAAAAAAACATAGTAAGATTCAGAATCACCCCTTTTTAATTTCATTGATCACCTCTACAGCGATAATACTTGGAACAACCTCTATTATACGGATTCGACGGCAGCGGAAGGCAGCGTCGCGAATACGGTTCGCCGCCGCTGCCGCCGTTACAAACCGGTTGATCTCTTTTCAAAGCTCCAGGAGAAATATACCTTTTTCTTTCTTCAAGAAATCTTCTACTAATATCAGACTCCATTAATATCTCCAACTCTTCGTTACACTCAGCTATTGTACCATTGCATGATGATTGGCCTGTTACAGATGTGATTATAAATAAAAGCGTAAGAAAAATAGTGAAGAAATATATGAATTTTGTGAAAATTGGAGCTTCCATTTTTTGGTTTTGTGTGAATGGTATAGTTGGTTCAATTATTTGTAGCTGTGCTTTATTTTGCTTTTTTTGACAGTAGGAGACACACTAAGATGCAGAGGGACCGCATTAGTCCATCAACCAAAACCTAGCTTTTGTGAAAATATACTAATTTATAAATATGATTGTGAGCTGTGAAATAGTTCAAATAAATAGTTGTGAGACAATTAATAATATGATCTATGCAGGAAAATAATAGTAATGCACGGGGTCTTGGAAAGAGCTGACTACAAGTGTTTATTGTACGCAATCTTACCTGTATTTCTACAAAAGGTTGTTTTCACGGCTCGAACAAGTAATTACATGTGATCAGTATAATGTGAAACCATCCTCATATGAGACATGCCATCCTTGCCTACAAGGTGGAGCATTTTCATCATATTCAGCACAACAGCTTCATCTCTTTTTCCAGTTTTTTCTTCTTGTATTTGGCCTCTTATCCTTGTCGTTCCATTTATAGACTATCACTCCATTCTCCATCGATTCCTTGGTGAGGCGGAGCCAGAGAAAATAGTCCTTTATCTCCTGTTGGTGCTCAAAAGCAAACATCCATATGGATAAGATGATCAAAGTTTGAATAGCAGCGAAAGAAATTAACAAACAGAAGCTAGAAAGTCAAGTGACTCATTAATCATGTATCAATCTCACACCACTGATTAATTTACCACAGTAAACACTACTGGGAAATATTGTATATTTGTCCTCTCAAACGAAAAGACTCAACAGCGAAATAGCAAATGAAAGCAACGGTACTAGGATTGAGGGAAAGGGTCGGTCCGCGTAAAGGAAGATTTTTACAATAATCAATTCGATCTCGTATGATAAGGTCTGCATATATACTACTCTCCCCAGACCTACTTGTGGGATTATACCGGTTTATGTTTTTCTTATCATGTCTGATAAGGACAAGAGTCACTGATCTAGATAAAAGCTGACTATACCATTCAGAGAAAATGACAGGACATGGTGGTAACTCAAACAATGGTATTCACCTAAACATATGGTTATTAGAATCTTTGAAAACTACATATATAGCTCCAGAAAATAGAACTCAGACAGTGGCAATTCACCTAAACCTATGGATATCCAGATGTACGGCATATATATATTGCTCGGACTCTTCAAAAATTCCGCTGGTTGCGTGTCAAATTCTCCAAAAGTAGTATGTTTTTGGAGGATCCACACGGCTGCAGCAGCATTTTTGAGAGTATGAGCAATATAGCAATGGACTACCCCTCGAAACTCCCATGCTCATACAAAATTGCAGAAGATTCAACACAATTGTTTTCCTTCATCTGTTATCCTTCTTTGACTTGCTCTTCTATAACTTATATGGTATCATGTGCACTTCTAATAAATATCTGAATACTAGGAGTAGTTGCCTGAACATTCTGCCTCATAATTATTAATTTTGTTTGACATTATCCCCTTTTTTCTATATATTCCAGATTCATCTACTAAACACTTTGCTTTCACTTATTCCATTTTCAAATGAAAGAGGCAACAGAGGGATAAGACAGACTTTTTACTGAGGCGAGCGAGGTTCATTGATTCTTTAAAATATATACTTTGAAGAAATATTAGCAAAATCAATGCGACTAAAAACTTTTTTACTCCAACACCTTAATTAGGACTTATTATGCTGCTCAATTTCCTCATAAATATGCAGAGCTATAACCAGCTATGCTGCTTGGACCCTCTAAAATATTGCCGCACTCATGTCGGATCCTCTAATATTTTCGAACATTGGAGGATCCGACACACATGAGACAACATTTTTGACCAAAACAACATTGCAATCATAGAAGCAGGGACTTCTGGTTTTTAAAAACTAAAATTATTCCTATATAAACAGTGTAATTTTCCGACGAAGGGTGTTCGGATGACCACCCTTGCGCCACCCTAAATCCGCCCCTGCTTCCAACTGATGTACTTGGTAAAGTTAGGATCAATTGAGCTTTTTTGTATAGTTGACCTAGGCTTTTTTCATCATTTTTTGTATACCTAGTCAGGGGCGAAGCCACCTTTTACAAAGGCACCGAAGTATTACGAAAAATTACATTGTGTATATAAGTAAAATACTGATTTTAGATGTATAAAATATATATTGAACACCTTTTGTCGGATTTTTCTTTAGTTCTTTCAAGTTTAAACACCCTTGACAACATTTCTAGCTTCGCCATTGTACCCAGTGGTCTACCAATGTTGGATAGACAACTGGAGTTTCTCCATAGGTCTAACTTCATATAGAAATTTAGGTCCATTTGGTTGTCTTTTGTGGATGATCTAGTGTACAACCATCCATTGGGAGGTAAGGTGTATGCCCCCTCCACTATTGTAATTTATTTTATATTTATGAAAACTAATACTAGGCACAAGGCCTAGTGTACAACAACAACAACAACCCAGAATAATCCCACTTAGTGGGGTTTGGGGAGGGTAATGTGTACGCAGACCTTACCCCTACTCTTGGGTAGAGAGGCTGTTTCCAAATAGACCCCCGGCATCCTTCCCTCCAAGAACTTCCCACCTTGCTCTTGGAGAGACTCGAACTCACAACCTTTTAGTTGGAAGTGGGGGTTGCTTACCATCAGGCCTAGTGGACTGTTAAAAATTAAAAGTCTTTTTATCAACAAGTCAACTGATAGAATTGGTCATAATTCAGTAGTAAAATGTTTTCATAAATCATACTTCTGATCTGATTCAGTAAGTTAATGTTATCTTTATTCGAACACACTTATAAATTCTATATTTCGTTATTTTATTTTATTTCAAAATTTTAACGTTAGGAATTTGTCAAAATCGTTTATCGTCAAATTTTTACCAGAAAAGAAAAATTCAAAGTATATTTGTTATCTAATACTAATTCAAGGTGATATAATCAAGCGCAAAACATATATAATGGCAACTTCCAAGCCGATATAAGTTATGCGATATAGACAATCTATCCTAATACAAGCATTAATGGCTACTTCCAAGCAGAGACGGATCTACAATTTAGAGGCTCTGGGTGCCAAAAATTTTAAACGTAGTCATATTACAATTTACATGATCTAATATGGTATAAATTTAATCGATTTGGTCTATTTGGGTTTCGATTCTGGTTATTCGTCTTTGGAGTTAATATAAACAAATCGATCGAGCAAAAAGATTACGTAATAATTATGATAACTCAGAAAAAGAAAAGCATAAAAAGTCAACTGGATTATGAATTTTGTACAAGAAAAATATTTAGATACTTAAGGCAAAAAACTTATACTAATAATCACTCTAAATATTAAGTAAGTTTACGGACAATTTTCAATTATACTTTTCATAAAAAATAACTCACTCGATATTATATAAAATTGTCCTACTTTAGAGCAGTCTTACAAAAAAATAAATTTTCATCATTAATTAAAACAATAACTTATTTAAGGACTTTTTTTTTTTGGTTTCTGCAAATAGATTTTTCGAGTTGTGGTCCTGGAGAAAACAGTTAAGTTTTAAAAAAAAAAAAAGCGAACTAGGATAGACTTGAACACCGACCATTTGGTTGAAAGTGGTAGTGCCTTGCGAGCGCCACCTTGAACCTTTTTGTTACCGAGTATTGTATACAGTGGCGAATGTTTTGGGGCTTAAGCACCCATTGACCTTGGCAAAGAGTGTACGTATTATATTAAAAATTTATCAAAATAAATATAATAAGTCATCTAGCACCTAGGTAACAAAAAGTTTAATGGGTGCTTTGGTCAAGAGAAGGTACAACTACTTTTTAGAAGGCATTTTCCTTGTTATCAAGCTTCTTTCTTTCTTTTCTCCATTCAATTAGGCATACACTTCTTTGTTCTTTCACTAGCCAATATCTTGCAATTGATCCAATACTACTTATTTTTCGCTCTTTTCCGTTGATTTATGTTTAAACTTCTTTTAATTCATTATAACAAAGAAAGCAAACGAAAATCTACTTAAAAGGGGCTCCAATGTTCGTTTGAAGATGAAGTGGTCCTCTAGAATGGTAAAGCCCCGCCATTTTTTTTTTGGAAAATTACCAACTATGTTTATTTAGAAGTAGCTCATTACATAAATTGGTCAATTGATAAATATTACTAATATTAGCCAATATGGCCAATTAGCTATTTGTAGCAAAAAAATATATCAAATTTTTACTTTCTTTTGAGTGGGTGCTATTAGAATAGATTTGGTATATCTTAAGGAGCTTGAATCTCAGTTTTGGGATGATTTGGTGAAGTTTTGAGGTAGTTTGAATTGAAAATTCGAAGTAAAAACTGAATATGAAAAAAAACGACATGTGTATCACATATGTATCATATTTGTATCGATTGTGTATCACATGTATATCTGTGTGTGAGATACATGCGTGATACATGTTTGATATATGTGTCACAGAAGAATTTTTTGACATCGATTTAATTATGAATTTTGATACAAAACCAGTCCAAATCACCTCCAATCTTCATCAAATTTTGTATATTGACTTATCTACTCCCTCCGTTTCATATTGTTTGAGGTACTTTCCTTTTTAGTCTGTTTCAAAATAAATGACACATTTCTAAATTTGGAAATAATTCAACTTTAAACTCTTCATTTTACCCTTTTTACCCTTAGTGAGAAGCTTTTATAGCCACACAGATGATATGGCCCCACAAACTTTTTACCCCTTAATCTTTTAAGATCACAAGTTTTAAAAGTCTTCTTCTTTTTTCTTAAACTCCGTGCCGAGCTAAACTACCTCAAGCAATATGAAACAGAGGGAGTATATGTTTTTCAATGAATTTCGACTATACCCATTAAAAAGATTTCTTGTTTGTTTCGATTTTTGGAATATTGGCTAGAGGTTGGTAAATTAAAACTTATATGGGACATTTCTGTAAGTTTCTCTTTTTTTTATTCACGTTAGTTGTCTTATCCATTATAATTTTGCTGCGTCCATAATATTTAAATTATGAGTTTATTTTTATTACCATTTATATCGTCGTATTCAAATTCTTGTGTACTTGCATAATGTGATTGGTAGTACTTTATATAAAAAATGTTAAGCACCCACGAACCTAAAATCTTGAATCTGCCACTGATTTGTATACATTCCTTCTATATATACATGCATGTATACATATTATTGCATAGTTTCGACCAAAGCTTGCGGGTGGCGTACTACCCCGTCCCTTACACGTAGATCCGCCTCTAATTTCAAGGCTCGAACCCGTAACCTGCATGTCACACGAAAATAATTTTTACCGCTACTCCAAGACACCCCTTCAACCAAGACACCCCTTCAAATAAATGAATAACTAGAAAAAGATAAAATGAAAACGTGACAACAGACGTGCAAAGATGTAGCTTTGACCTAAGAAATGTCTTGGTAAGTTCCCTTATTTCAGTTAACCCTTCCCTGCAGGTGTTACATATAAGTTGACCAAAATTGAAGTTTCCAGGAAGAAACAATAAGCTGTACGTATATATATTCAAGGAGAATACTCATCAACATCTCAGCTCTCTTTCCTTTAACAAATTCACTAAATATTCATCCCTTTATTCTTGAATATTATCAAATGGATCCTCTAATTATCCAAGGAGAATCATCTACATCTTCCCACTTCACTTATGAAGTATTCCTGAGTTTTCGAGGTGAAGACACCCGAAAAACATTCACGGGTCATCTTTATTCCAAATTACGTGATGTTGGAATTAATACCTTCATTGATGATGAGGAATTGAGAAAGGGTGACGTGATTTCAAGAGAATTAGAGAAAGCAATTGAAAAGTCAAGAATTTCCATTATTGTTTTCTCAAGAAATTATGCTTCCTCTAGTTGGTGTCTAAATGAACTAGTTAAAATTCTTGAATGCAAAGAGAAATTAAAGCAGATGGTTTTCCCTATTTTCTATGATGTTGATCCTTCTGAGGTGCGAAAACAAACTGGGTTATTTGGAGAAGCTTTGGCTAAACACAAGGAACGACCGCTTGGAGCTCAAAGGGTGGAGAAATGGAGAGCTGCACTTACTGAAGCTGCAAATTTATCTGGAT